GTCAGAAAACGGCATGAACCTTGTGATGTTCATGCCTTCATTGCTCAAGTGAACATTAAGTGATTCATCTGCTGAAGAGCTGGAAACTTAAAGAGCTCTTTCCTTAATCAGCAAATTACTAAACAAATGCTTGGTTTTTGGTAACACTCACCATTCATCAAAAATTTTAGCTACCATTCTCGGCATCCATGATTCATGAAAATGAACATTGTTGACGAATCCTTGCTGAAGTGCAATATATTAGCTAATTGTAACTTCTTAGCTTTCCTGCTTTCTTTAATTGAAAACAAAGGCAAAATTGCAAAGACGGAACTGTATGCTCATTGTCACTTGTCATTTTGCCTGCTCTGTCAAATAAACCAGGTAAAGTTGTAAAGCAATAAACCTTGAAAAAGTTTTCTTATCATAGTGGAGATGCTTTGTGCTGATTTGTCAACACAGTATCTGGGATCACTTCAGAGTTCTCTGTTGTATTTTTGACTCACAGATCTGCCAAGTGGTAAACTGGTAGGTGAACATGCTTGGCAGAATCTTACTAATTTGAGTCTTGGCGGTGTATTTTGTTGAAGTACTCTTGACAAAATGATTGTGGTTTCCTTGTCTACCTATTAATTAGTGCTCTTAACTTCTTCTCAAGATGGTGTAACTGATCAAGACAATGTTTTGTGTTAAAATGTCAAGTTCCTAAAAAAATGGGGCATTCTGAGAATTGAACTCGGGACCTCTCGCACCCTAAGCGAGAATCATACCACTAGACCAAATGCCCTGTTGTTGAATTTATTTTTCCCTGATGTAATTTACCTTGCTTTAGGTTTCCTCTCTAACTTGTTTATTGTTTACTTCGCATCATGATAGTCATTAAAAGTGTGATGATCTCTGAGGCCTGAGTGGCCATACCCGTTAGAAGAGTTCTAGTGTTGGTTTGTAATTTTGTGTCATCAATACGCTTTTTTTTCATACTTCTCTATTTGGCCATGAAATTCCTAGCATAACTTTAATAGATGCTGACTGTACTGATATATTCTAGTAGTAGGAATTAGCTCTCTCTGAAATTAATAATACATCCTTACATAAGTTATGTAAGATATTCACTGATTTTTTCCTGTAGCTTTCCATTCGAAGTAAGAAAAGGATAAAAATAAATGTAAGCTAAAGGATAATTAAATTCCAACCGTTCACCCCTCTTATTTTATTTTATATCATAGTTGACTTCTGATCTTAGATCTAATATTATCTACTTATTCTTAGCCCCTCTGGAACTGTTAGCCATATGTAAATCACATGTTTGCTCAAACCTACCACATATATATTATTTCTGTACCTGTAGGACTGTAATGCATTAAAAATGGCATTGTGTAGGAATTTGCTTAGGTAAATACTCTCTTACCTCTGCACTTTCTTCATATGGGAGATTCAACTGTATTTAAATTTTCTATTTAAAAAAACAACGGATAATTGTTCAATTGTGTTACAACCCCTTTTGTTAAAGAACAAAGGCATTTTAATTTATCAGATTTTAAGGTTTATTATATTTAAAAGATACAAGGAATAAAATGTGGCTGAAGTTTTGCATCACAACTGTGGAATTCTTCGTTCTAATAATGGATCTCCCTCTGATTTCTTCCCATCTGAGAGAGGATTGAGTCAAGGGGACCCCCTATCCCCTTTTCTTTTTAAGCTGGCAATGGAAGGACTGGATGACATGCTCAGAACAGCCCAAACAAAAGGATGGATTGGATAGGCAGAGCCTTGCTATTTCACATCTTCAGTATGCAGATGACACTTAGATTTTTTGTGACGCAGAAAGCTACCAACTCAAGTATTTGAGAGTTATCTTGATCTTGTTTGAAGCCATTTCAGGTTTACACGTTAATTGGGGGAAAACTTAATTTATCCAGTTAATGAGGTGCATAACAGGGGAGCTCCCCAGTGTATATTGGAATGCCTTTGGGGGATAAGAGCAAGTCAAAATGCATCTGGAACAATGTTTTTGAAATGTGTGAAAAGAAGTTACCAAATTGGATAAGCAAATATGTGGCTCTAGGTGGAAGTGTCACACTCATAAATAGTGTGTTGGATGCCATGCGCACGTATATGATTCCAGTTTTCCCGATGCCTGCAAATGTAATTGACAGAATGGATGCCATGAGGAGGAACTTTTTGTGGCAAGGAAACTATGATTCTAATGATTACAAAATTCATCTAGTAAAGTGGGATGAAGTTATCCTCAGAAAAAGGTAGGGGGTTTGGGGATGAGAAGTCTTGAAATTCAGAATCAAAGCCTTCTAATGAAGTGGATTTGGAGATTTGCATCACGGAAACAAGCTTTGTGGAGCTCCCCAGTGTATCTTGGAATGCCTTTGGGGGATAAGAGCAAGTCAAAGTGCATCTGGAACAATGTTTTTGAAATGTGTGAAAAGAAGTTACCAAATTGGATAAGCAAATATTTGGCTCTGGGTGGAAGTGTCACACTCATAAATAGTGTGTTGGATGCCATGCC